GAAGGTGGGTGTGTGCATTCAGGTGTACAAAGGGGACTCCAGAAGCTCCAGAATGGGGTGATCCAGTCCAAGCTGGACATGGGGTCGGTTTGTTATATTTTGATCAGTGAGAAAGGAGAGGACACCCAGTCATAGCCAAGTTATAGGAGTTGTTATTACCAGTGACTGCGGGAACTCTCGTGTCTCTCAAAGACCCTGGAGCCCTGAATGTAGGGAGAAGGGTGCTGGTTAAAACAAAAAGCACATTTGCTTGATGTGGCGGGAACAGTAACCATTGATGAGGGGGCGGAAAATAAAGGGAGAGGGGATTACAATGGAAAGCGGTTACAGAAGCCAGGTCAAGGAGGTTAATAATTACTAAGGGCACTTTCCAGTCCCTTGCCTAAACACAATGGGATCTTAATGGTCTGCATGGCTTGGGGCAAGGAGCTTATCACTAAGGAAGTTCTCAAGGTAGGGGGTTTCAGGTTATTTAGTAAAGACAGCTGGAATGTTAATCACTCTTGTTTACACAAAAAGTTCTAAGCAAGTTTCCAATATAGAGTTCACAATGGAGGTTCTCCTGCTTCAGGTTGAGGAGCCAGGGCGTCAGTGGATCAGGAGTTCAGCTTCCAGTTCTGCTACAGGATCCTGATGAGAGAGGAGTAAGCTCTCTCTGGTTAGGTAGATAGGGTGAGGAGTCCACGGAATGGAGGGTAGGAGACAAATAGAGTCATTACAGTGAAGCCTTTAATAAAAATTACATTCACAACTCTCAGCAGAAATCAATTATTAGCTCTTCTTGTTTGGACAGAAAGCTGCTTGCTGCATGCTTAAGATAATGACAGCTGAAAGGAGCATTATCCTTATCATTGCCCCATTCCGAATGACAAGTACAGTGTCTCTTGGTCTGGAGAGCAGCAGAGGGAAGGACCTTGAACAATAAACCCTTCTTTCATATTTCAAAAAATTTATGAGCACTTGTTGACTGACTAGAAATAGACAAACTGGCCGTAGTCCTGAGCACAGTGTTCAACTCAAGGACAGTGATTAGTTTAAGACTCCTGGTGGCACAAAACTCTTGTGCTGGCATCGCTTTTTAAAAAGTATTTTTTTCTCCATCTCCTTAGACAAAAGTATTCTTCACATTTTTAAAAAAATTTTCTTGTCAGGGTCCATTCTGACACCCTGAGTATACCCATTTGCTTAGCTGGAAGCTTTGACTCTTTTCTAGTAAACTTTAATTATTATCCTCTCCTTTTGTCCACATTTATCATTCCATATGACCATCAGATAAGTACCTGCCCAGGTGATGGATCTGAACACCTAGAACTTCATAGCATGGATGCTACTCTGTATCTCATTAAGTATACCCATCTGTAGTACTAGCCTATTTCCTGTTCTAGTGAAATACCCCCAGTTTCCCAGTGAAATAACTGTGGAGTCTTTGTAGACAGAGTGTTCCTATGGCAGCTGTGTTTGTGGGGGGTCTTGGTGTCTTAAAGTGAATGAAACCTCTGGTTGCCTCCAGCATTTCTTTGACCTGCCTAGCACTCCTGGGTAAGTTACATTTTTCTTTTAAGATTTTTGCTATGGTGCACAAGTACTTGCCTGAGAGATATAGAGGTGGGCAGAGTAGGTTGGGAGAAAGGAGAAATCACCCCCCCCCCATGGCAGTGGTCATGCCAAAACCCCTTCTTCTCCATTTTCCTCTTGGGGTTTTGGGCACATGTGAACATAGTCTGGATGTAATTTTCAAAGCCACTGGATCTGGGAATCAAATTACAAAGTTGCATGTGGATCCAGCAGCCTTTCCTCAATGCCACTGGCTGGCCCACTCCTGGGTAACTTTAAAAACTTTTAGGGGCCATTGAGTGCTGTAGTGGTTAAGGTTTTAAACTCCCACTTGGCTGAAGGAAGAAGCAGCCTTTCCTTAAGTCCAAGATCTGGCAGTTTGAAAATCGCACTAGGTGAATGTGCCTTTGTGTCTAAAATTCCAGGAGGAGAAGGGAAGAGAAAGGACTGTGGTGTGGCCAACATCCTTGCTGGGTGTTTTCTCATCCCCTTCCCTCCTTTCTGCCACTCTCTAGAAGCGTAGTCTCCCTATGGCAAAAACCTAAAGGGGAAAAAGAGAATCTTATATGAGTTCAAATTCAGAATCCAGTGACAGTAATTTCTGTTAGGCAGTTTTAAGTCCTGATGAATGGTAGCATTTTATTTGGAATAAAATAAGTATTGGGAAGTTAGAAAATTATACTATACAAATAGGAATCTCACCTGAAAGAATACCCCTGTGGCCTGAATACTGTATTAGAACATCAGAGCAGTGGCAGAAGAGCCTGGGAAAGGAAAAAATAATCAGTTTACTTAAAGTAATTACTGATCTTTCTTCCTAGAATGGACAAAATTTGGATAATCCTACCTTCTCCTGAATGCTGGATGCTGCTCAGAGGTTTGGACCCACTTTTAGATAGGATACAGAGTTTGACTCAGATAGGCAAAGCCCTAACAATGTTATTTACTGGAGAAAGCTTAGAGTGTGGCCTGGTGTGAAGTTATAATCTGTCATCCTGAGTGTCTGTCTACAGTGCTCTCTAAATAGAATCCATTCTTTCAATTTGTTGTCATTGTTTCCTGTTTCTGAACTCACTTAAACTTGATCTGTCACCAAATTTGGCAACTAGAAAAAAGCGAATGCACCGTCTCTCTTGATAGGTTTTCCTAGTAATTCTGCCTTATAAGAAAAATGGAAATAAATTAGATTTGAGATGTGTCTTTCTCAGAGTCTGGTTATTTGTAGATGCTAGACATTCTGACATTTTGACTAGTGCTGTCTGTTTTCTTTACCAGATTTCAATCAAATGAACCATTTTTTTACTTTCAATTTTTTTTGTGTATTATTAACACAAACATGAGTTGCAATACCTTTACTATCCCTCAACAAATTTTGTGACTTATGTGGTTTCAAAGAGTTTTCCACTTAATAACAGCAATGTCTTATAAGATGATAAATTCTGTAGAAAATTTATAAGAGCTTTTATTTCTTCTGTTTTTTGAAGGTATTTTTGCTGTAGGACACACACACTCACCAGAAAGAATTCCCTCCATCCCCCACCCTTGGGGGACGGCCAATTCTGAAATCCTTTTTCCTCCTCTCACCTGTGATTTTGGGTGTACACACATTCACTCACTAACTCATGTGCGTGGTGTGGTTTTCCTGTCACTGGATCTGGGACTTGAACCACATACTCAGCCATGTGTGGGATCTACTACCTTAACCACAGTGCTTCCCACTGACCCATAAGAGCCTATTTTACATTATATAAAATAGGAAAATTAGACTATATGACACTTTTAGTTTAAACCAATTTTTAAAATGTAAATAAAATGTAATTCAGTACTCTTGTATATCCTTATGTTTTGTTTATTAATTAAAATTTTTTTTGTGTGTGTAGGAGTTTTTCCCTTAGTATACATATGCACGTCAGAGAGAGACTGAGACATGAGAAGGAAAGGAAGAAATCTCTCCATTGGGGTGGTGGTCACACCACAGTCCCTTCTCCTCTTTTCTCCTTCTGAGATCATGGGCATGTATGCACATATACACACTGTGAGTTTTAAGACACCATGCCTAGTACTTGGACTGTGGTCAGCCATGTGATAGTCCAATGACATAACTGCTAGGCCATCTGCTGCCTTTTTCTTTTTAAGTACAAAGACTTACAGGATGTAAAAATCTTAAAGGTTCATCTACTAATGTACACAATATTGCTCTGTAGGTTTTTCAAAAGTCTTACACAGGGCTGTAAATTTCTATTTATTGTATCAGACATGTATTTAAGATTTTATGATATTGTTAAAAAACATTGCTGGGGCTTAAATGTATTGTTTAGCATTTTCTGGGTAAGGAACAAATTAAGTATTGTAAAAACCAATTTATTTGCTCAAGGGTCCTTGGGTCTACACTTTGGTGTGAGTTCTGTTGGGTAGTTTCTATTCTGGTTGACTGGATGGCAAGTGAGGCTTTAATCATGTGGTGCCTCAAGAGAGTCTGATTTATTTCAGATGACTTCACTCTTATGCCTAGTGGTTTGTGCTTACTCTTGGTAAGGCCCATGTATCCACCAATTTTCCTCAGAATTTTTCAGTAATGACTCTGCCAAAAAGTGAAGCACTGTTGAGAGCAGATGGTGTGGTGGTTAAGGAACTGGATTCCAACATGGGCTAACTCTAACTCTGTTTGAGTCTTGGACCGTTCAGCTTGAAAATCATACTGGGCACATGTGTGTGCATGTACCCAAAATTCCAAGAGGAGAATAGAAGAGAAGGGATTGTGGTATGGGTATTCACCATTTCTCCCTTTCTTTCTCTGTCTCTCTCTCCAGTGAGCATATGCGACCTATGGCAAAAAGCTAAAAGCAATAAAGAAAGAATGGAAGCACTAGTGGGCAAAAACTTTCCAAACTGAGATTTCTATCGCATTTTCTTTTTGCGGTTTAATTTATTCTTGATACAGCATGCATGTCCACTCAAGATTGAAAGAGAGAAACACATACAGGGATTCATTACTGTGTTTCCCCAGCTCTCTAGCACATCAGGATCTTAGGCATGTGCACTTATTCATAGGCTTGATTTTAGACTGAGCTGGAGATCCAAAGTCATGGTTAACCATATGCCTTCCAAGACTGCTGTTACATTTGTTATTGACTCCAAGCTGGACCTGCATTATCTTTCTTTTTTCAGCTTTTGCTATAGGGTATGTGTGCTTGCTAAAGAGAGAGAGAGAGAAAGGAAGAAGGAAGGAAGGAAGGAAGGAGAGAGGGAGAAATCTCAAACCAGAAATAGGACCATGCCTAAGTGTCTAATTCATTCTCTTCTCAGGATTTTGGGCACACCTGAACATGTGGCTGGTCTGCTTTTCAAGGTGTTGGTTCTGGAACTTGAACCATGGTTGGCCATGTGGGATCCAGCTGCATTAACCCTTATACCATAGAGTGGCCTAATAATTTCTATTTCAGTATGACTTAATTTATGAATTTTGATTATATTATTGTCTCTTGACCTTTGTCTTTGATTGCTCTTTTATAATTTGATAATATTTGTTATTGTTAGTTACTCCAGTGCTTTAATTCAGAAATAGTCTAATTATATATTATATTTGACATTCTAGATAAATTTTAGAATGTTTGGTCTCTTTTTCCATGAAAAGAAAACTACTGGAATTTTGATGGAATATTTGTATCAGTGACAGAGATAACCCTTCATTTTGATGAATTTTGAAAAAGTGGTCATCTTTGTAAAGGTGAGTTTTTCTTCACGTCCATATATGTAACCACATTTTTCAGGTCTATAAATTTTTTTCTTATATATTCTACATATTTGTTTCTAAAAACTTGCATACATGTATATTATACAAATGTCATGTTCATATAACTTATGTTGTATTTTATACTATTTATTAAATT